GAGGTGTCCTAGCTTCAGATTAAGGAACGGAATCTGCTTCTTTATAAAATCTGTTTATGTGGTGGCTAGCAATGTTATTCAAAGGATCTTTTTCTTTCTGCTCAGATAACCGGTGTAATCCTATCACTCTATTTCCTCTTCATTTGTAGATAAGATTATAAAATAATGCAAAAAGACTTACATATATTGGTCTAGTTTATCCTGTTTCAACTAAAATGCATGTGAAATCCCTAATCCTACAAACACTTTCAAGCATGGGCAGAGCCCCTTTGCTTTCAGTAGAAGTACACCAGTTTACATGAGCTAAGGATCTGGTCCACAGTTCAAATGGAGGCCAATGAAAGGGTGATGTGACTCTAGCAGGAAAAATTGATAACTTTTGTAGTTTAGGACCAATATTCATTCATATTTTTTATTATTTCATTTGCAATACCAGTTGAATGCTGCGTGGCTACAACATTTGTATCCGCATCTATACCTGCAAAAATGAGCTGCAGATATCCTCATCACGGATATGGATACCTGCAGATATAAGGCAGATATGCATGGATTTGCAGGGCTCTAAATACCAGAGCAGCTGGAAGCTCTAGTTATGGATCAGTCCCCACATTGTACTAAATGCTGCACAAATCAATTTTAAAATAATAAAGAGTACAGAAGTTTATCCTTGTAGTAAGAACCAGCAGAAAGCTTGCTCCAATGTTTCTAACAGGAAGCAAATTGTAATATTATTTGCACACATAGATAATTAATTGGAGTCCCATCAATAAACAAATACCGAAGGAGATACGGAGGTAGCAAAACCAGATAAAGAAAAGATAAGCCATTTTAATAAATCATGAGTTACTGTCATGATTTGTTATCACTCTATGTTAATAGCAAAGAACAAACAAGTGCCACTTCAAGAGTATAATAAAGGAAAGTCCATGCAGTATAAAGAACTCTAAAATGTTGATATCCTGAGGGAAACAGAAGATAAGTCCATCTTATTTCACTTCTCAGTAAATGTCTTTCCTTTATGAACAACCATGTGCTAGCAATAAACTTTAATTATTAACGGGGCTGACGTGAAAAGTAATATCCAGTTTTGGAGAAAGTAGCTTGCCAGTGCCATTCCGTCCCAACCATTCTTCTCTTCCAAAATTTTCTGGAGACCACAGGAGATACATTAGGCCCAGATCCTTTTCCCCACAAATGGACACCATCCTTGCCAGGCCACATGTGTTTCCCTCATTTGGTTGCTCTGAAGGACTAACACTGAAGCAATAAAGATCACTCAAGTTCTGCTGTTTGAGTTTTGTACCACTTAACCCTAACCTGAGACCTGAAGCAAAACTTCTCCTTTAAGGCACAACCCTGGAGGGACGTGGAGGGCTAAGAAGGAGAAGTGGAATTCCTAAAGCAAGAGCAGCAGGAGCAATGTTAGTTCATGCAGCCAGAATCCTTCCAGGGAAATACTGATGCAGTGGCAGCTCCGCTACCTTGGTGCATTATGCACCATGTGCTCCTTCCTTGCTCCCATTCAGCTCTGTTGACCAGTGTGGAAGGAAGGACTTGAGGCAATAGGCATGTCTTTACACCACCTCACTTGGGCTTCCATTCAGTAACAAACAAATATATGCCTAATTTTAAGCATGCTTTAAGTCCTGCTGACTTGACTGATACACTGGAGAGGATCTAGAGAAGAGCAACAAGAATGCTTAAAGGTCTAGAGAACATGACCTATGAAGGAAGAATTGGGTTTGTTTAGTTTGGAAAAGAGAAGATTGAGGGGGGACATGATAGCAGTTTTCAGGTATCTAAAAGGGTGTCATAAGGAGGAGGGAGAAAACTTGTTCTCCTTGGCCTCTGAGGATAGAACAAGAAGCAATGGGCTTAAACTGCAGCAAGGGAGGTTTAGGTTGGACATTAG